TCTCTCTCTCTCTCTCTCTCTCTCTCTCTCTCTCTCTCTCTCTCTCTCTGTGTCTCTGTCTCTCCCTGTCTCTCTTTATCTAGCCCCTCCTCCACCCCTCTCATATTTGGTTTACTATATACTTGATAAACACACTCATTACTAACCAAGACGGCTATTGTAGATCCTTCTCTAGACCACAGAGAGCAAAGCCTGACTTAGTAGTTACCTAGTCTTGCACTGTAATGACTGTTCTTTGATTTGTCAGCCCTTTACTCTGTGTCTCAAGGCTGCTTACTATTCCTGGAGCATTCATCTTTCTGACTTCTGCCAGTCAAAGAACAGTCTGGCTTTGAGCAACCCACTGGGAGGTGGCTGCAACCAAGTCCAGATAGGAAACATGAAATGGCTCAGTAAAGGTTATGAAGGTGACAGACTCAGCATAGAAAGTCATTAATACATTTGTGTGTGCAATGAGTTGTTCTTCCATGCATGGTTCTATAGGGACTTTAAAGTATTCATTTTTCTCTACCATGATCTCCCTAAGTAGGTCAAATTTCTGTAGTATTTACACTCTTTCTTAAAATATTTAGAAGATGAAATTTCAGGAACAAATTGAAGTTACATTTTCATGGGACCAAAGATCACACTATGTGTACAATTATATCTGCTTATTTATATGTCTATGTACAGATATGTGTATATGTTTCACAAAGTTATAGCCTGATTTTATCCTGTAGAAGAGACAGCTTACTTATTTTGACTGAAACAGTAATGTCTTTTAAAATAACTTAGTGTCTTGAGAAGTGATTGTAGCTACACAAAACTAAATTAAAAGTTCTTTGATTTTAATCTCTCTGGTGACCTTTAAGGATTTGATAAATGTTAAACAATATTCATAAATTTGTATACAATAAATACAATTACAAATACAATACATAATTTTATAAAACTTTAAAATTGTACTGAAAAATACTGTAAGCGCACATAAATCTAATACCTACTAATACCAAATATTTCTATATATGAACACTTATTTATAATAAAAGCCATATATATGATCTTAAATTATAGATGTTGTATATATTTTATAATATGTGTATATGTTAAACACATATATCTATAAAATGGTGAATATCTCATTGTTTCATTTATATCAGCATTTTAAAATTTATCAATCATATCATATATTATTTGATATGTTTAATATTACAAGTATTTTGTCACTCTATTGAAAATCCTTCTCAACATTATAGCAGTAACTGAATAACTGAGTCATAAGAATATATTTACCAAAGGGGAGTAACTTTATGTTTTGATATAATGTAGCCACATGACTTTTGAAGATTTCGAACTACAAGAAGAATCACATTTCAAACATTTGTTTCCTAATGATTTCGGTTTTCATCTATGTGTATGGTGTTTTGCCAGTATGTATGTCTGGGTGACACTTGTATGTAGGCCAGAAGAGGGAATTGGATCCCCTAGAACTGGACTTACAGATAGTTGTGAACCTTAGATTGTGTGTTGGAAATTGAACTCCTCGACCACTGGAAGAACAAGCAGTGTTCTTAACTGCCAAAACATCTCTGCAGCCCCCACGAATCATGTTTTAAATGGCAATCCACCACACAGAGAGATACAAACACACATGAATGGAAATGTAATTTTATGCAACCATGGACCAGAACTTGAAGTTATCACAATGATATTATCTTTCCATTTTTCTCTCACTATTTTTCTAAGATGTTGTGGTCACTGAACTCTTAATTTCAGTACCTGCATGATTTCAAAGTTTGCAGTATTGTGTAGTTTTATGAATATAAAGCAACTCAATTCATAAATTCCTATTGTTGAATATGTAAATTAATTAAATTGTTTCCTTGTTAGGAATGATCCTGCAGCAAGCATTTTTCTGTGTTTCTCATAATTCTGTCTTATTTTCAGAGGGCAGAAGAACCAGTGGCTAAGTGGTCCTAAGACACAGAAGTTAAATGTCATAAATGACTAGAGAGTGTGGATTTGAGGGGACATCTGTTTCAGCAGTTCCCTGTTAGATGACTCCAATCATCCCATGTAGCCTAAGGAATGAGTACTACTGTCTTTACTTTATAGATGGGTGCTCAGGGAAGTGACTAAGTCACAGCAGAGAGCTTGGACCAGCAGTGCTGGAAACTGAACCAGACATCTGATTCAAATTCCAGGCTTCCTTTCCAGCTTGGACTGGAGCCAAGACCTGTGGTCATGCAGAATATCAAGGTTGAAACATGTGCCTCACATCCGTTACTGACTGGAGGAGAAAGCTGTGAGGGAATGTAAAGGAGAGGCTCCATTCCACTTTGGTTTTGGTTAGTGGCACTCTAGAACATTTGGAAGTGTCAGCAAATTGTAATTCTTTACATGCATGGATAAACAAACAAACAAACAAACAAAATGGTCTAAGAAGTCAGGAAAATCAGGTTGCATATTCTTGTGATTATAAATGCTATTAGAAGACAGGAGTGGGTAAAAAGGGCTTTCTAGCAGTTATATGTCTTGGGCTATGACTTCAGACTGAGAGCCACAGATACTGATTTCAAATATTGGCAACTGAACAGGCTGTAAGCAGAGCCTTACTAACACAGAAAATTTTTGTGTGACAGGTAATTTTCAGTACTGTTTTGATGCACATTTTAGTCTCATTAATTGCCCAAATGGAAGGAGGGCAAAGGGACAAGAATTTTAAAAATTTACAAAAGTAAAATTTCATATTGACCACAACAGAACAGTATGAGCAACAGTGTAAATAGGAACACACTTGCTTTTTAATGCAAGATATAACGTAAATACCCATGTGCCTATATTGCTATAAACATGTGCTGTATTTATTTATTAATGCCTGGAGAAGGAAGGACAGATTCTCCAAGTGGAATTCCAAATGAGTACATTACATCCTTTGGTGTCCTTATGTTTCATTAATATACAATGACTTCTTTCTAAAGAGTATCATTTTGCAAATGGATAGACACTACACTTTGAAACTTGACAAATGCCATTTTAGGCAGGCAGACAAGGTCAGTATTGACAGTCATAAATCATTCTGGCAGTATACTCATTCTGTGTGATAAAATGGCCCCTCCTTTCTCTCTGCACTCTTCATTTTCCAAACCCATAACCCCAATTTAGTCGTAGGCGACTCATCATACAAGTCTGAACTGAAGGGCATTCTACCGAATACCTGAACAATACTTCCTCAAACTGTCAAAGTAAAAGAAGCCTAAGACACTAACTGTCACTACTAACAAGGGTCTAAGGAGACATTATGTCTAAATGAACTGTGGACAGGGCTAAATGAAATTCTATCCTAAATGGGGTTCTGGGTCAGAAAAAGGACATCCAGTAAAACCCAACGAAATATGAATATAGCAAGAAAGTTAGTTAATAATAAAGTATCCGTGTTAGCTCATTAACTGGGGCAAGCATGCCCTATTAACCTATGGTGTTATTTGTGGAGGAAACTGCACCCCACATGGAATCTCTCTGTTCTCTGCATTTGTAAGGATAAAACATGGCTAATCCTAAACAATTATTATAAAGTGATTTAAAAAGAGGAGATTGGTCTTCAGACCATGGGTACAATTATTAGATATTTGTTGTCTGCATATTTCTCTTGTCCTGTAGTGCTTTTTTGTTTCTGAGATTTCAGTGCATATGAAGGCCTTTGCCATAAGGAAGTCACAGGACTTGCACTTGGAGATGACAGGAAGTAGAAGAGGAGTGCATCTGTGCCAGGGGTGCTGGATCCCTGATGATAATAAAGGTGCAAGCTCCCATGATAGGGTAACAAGAAAAGCCAGACAACATGCTATAAGAGTCCAGTCCTTGGAAATCCAAAGAATTTGAGGCTCAGGTGAGGAACCCTCTCGATGAGAACCGGTGAGGTCTACAGAAATTAGTCATGAACTTAAGGGATGCAATTTGTACCAGAGCAAGCATTTTTTTCCTATTTTGTTCCCTTCTGTCTCTGGGATGCTGAAGGGTGTTTGGCACATAGTAGGCTTGGTGGATATTTGTTAAATGAGTAAATAAATGAATGAAGTTGAATACTTTCTAGGGATGCCTTCAATGAGAGCAGAGGCCCTATGTTGATCAGAAAACAACAATAATAGAATTCTATACAAAAAAGTGGTGTGTGTGTATGTGTGTCCCAAAGATGAACAAATCTGATAAAAATGGAATTCTATAGCAATTAGAAACATTGCTTAAAATAATATCTCCTGGCATTTCAAAGGACATAGCTATGCCATTTAACATAGTGACACATACTAGAACGTTTTTCTACAAACTTAACTGATATTTGCATAAAAATATTTTGTCAGCGCTGTGAATAACAGAGCTATTAGTTTGGGGTAATGCCTCCACTGCAAATCTCCAGGGGGTGCAGATCGCATCATTTTCCATGTGAATTGAGTTGTCTGCAAATAGCATTTCCTTTCAGCTCTGACCTATCAGTTGCCTGTAGTAGCAATTGTACCTATTTCAGAATTATTCTGACAGAAAGAACATTTTAACTCAGCCTCAAAAGCATGAGCAATCTGGGAAATTCTCAGCCACATGAATACCTGAAGGTGATGATATTTGGGAGAATGGACTGCAATGGGCTGCCTGACTTGCAAAATCAAAAATACTTGGCTCTTTCTGCGAAAGGTCCCTGGCTGCTGACTGAGACCAGGGGTTGTGGAGATGCTGCTAGAGATGAGTAGGAGGCACTCCGTTTCCCACTTACTCTTCTAAGTGGCTTTGAACAAGTCAGCCTTCTAGTGTGCAGGTCCTTGTCTTTGTACGAACCTTTCACTTTCTACTTGATTTATTTCAAAAGGATGAACGTAGACACATATCAGGAAGTAGAGATGCTGAATGTTAGTACTAAATTTTATTATGGTGAATCCTATTGCCAAAGCCTGAATTAATAATATGAATATCTGTCTTTATTTACCTGTCTTATCTGTCTGTCTAAACTATCTGTCCTTTTTTATCTATTTATAATCTATATTTCATCATTTATCAATTTATTATCTGAGATCTGTTTATGTCACTATTTAGCAATTTAGCTAGTTATATCATCTACCTAACCTCTCATTATTCATCAGTTTATTTATCTATTATATGTTATCTGTCAATCATTATTCATTAATTTATCTGTATGTATCATTTAGCTATCAAATACACCTAACTAATTTATCATTATTTATCAATTTATCTATCATTTACCATATCTATCTTCTATCATGTCTCTATCCATCCTCTGTCCTCTACCATCTAGCTACTTATCTAAATATCATCATAATCTATTACAGTAATCAAGGGATCTTGAAAGCATTACCAGTGACTGTAGAATAAAAGCTAATTTATCATTTGCACACAGTGAAATAAAGTGAGGGGAAGTCTAGTTCATCAAAAATCCAGGTTCCTTCTACTGTGCTACAGGGGCTTCTGAAATAGCTGATCTTGTGTTTCCACCGATGAGCATGGATGAAAATGATTTCCACCACTTTCTGCCCACAAATCCTCAGTTAAACACCACCTCACTGCAGGAGATGCTGGGAAGAGCCTAAGCATGTGCTCACCGAGTACATGGACTCCAACAGCCAATAGTTGGTGTGGCCTTCTTTATTTTGTTAAACAGTTATGATACATCTGTTTGTAGTTTCCTATGGACTTTGTTGAAGACATTAATACTATGCATGTGCTCTGTATGTACTTATCAACTGTCTATTCATTTATGTTGTTCTAAAGTATGAAGTCTCTTAAAGACAAAAATCAGGATTTCAGGTGGGAAATGTATCCGAGGCTGGAGAATTACATGTGTGCTTACCACTGTCTAAGGCCAGACAGCCTGAAATGGAATCTTAACTGCTTTATACTCTTAACTGTATAACTGTGGCAGGAGATTTAACTTTGTGACTCCTCTTTCTCATCTGCTAAAAGGAGATAGCAATAGTACCTAGAAGGGTTTCAGAAATTAATACTGTGTAATTAACTCAGCATAAAGCTAAAATGGTGAAAGCTAAATAAACATGGGCTTGTATTGTCACTGAGTAGCTATTGTTGCTAATATTTTGAGCATTTAATACTGTAAATGACTATGATAATGAGATAATAATCTGTTATAATATCTTAGTCATCTGAGACTTTGCCTGGGCATGTTTAAGGATTCTAGATTTCTGTGTAATCTAGTATAATATGATGCCAAATGCCTGAATTAATTACCTTTATCAAAAAATTCCTGAAGTAATAAATGCTACTGCTAAAATCTAATAAATATTGAACATTTATTTGGTGCTAGGCTCAGAGCCAAACTCAATACTCCCTTTAGGACTTTTCTACTTGTATGTTGACCCGTGAATTTGCCTTACTGCTGGTGTTGTAGTGATATGAATATTAGACCCTAGAGGGTTTAAATACGAAATCCTGGGCCCTACAGCCACTTGGTAGCAAGAAGGAGATTAGATCCAGTTATAATCAAAATGAGATCCCCTCTGACTTGTTCATTCTGTCCTTCATCTTTAAGCCAATACTGGTAATCTGCCATTTTTCTTTATCTCAAAATCAGGATGGCCTCTGGATTTTCCCAGGATGCTATTAAAAATGTGTTTCCTCCCAAGGCATTTCTGTTATTTAGATATCTTCCAGGTAGTGAATTAGTTAAGAAATATAACCCCAGTAGCCTAGCTTAAACTTTGATTTTGATTCACTATTTATTGGCATTTATGAACTTAGTAGTTCATATAAAAAGTAAAAAGAATATCACATCTAACTGTCACAAGTAAGGTCCTAAATTAAAATCAACCCTAATCATAATTACTGGTGTTTTGCATAGATATCATAAAAGTATTATTATATATTATCCCTCATTGTTGACAATAGACATGCAAAATCAAAGTTCTATGAGACATGGGAAGCAGGGGAGCAGGGGAGCAGGTTTCTGATACACATTTTTTTTTTATCAAGTAGCGAAATCCCTAGTAGTTTTTGCCTCTGTCATTCTCTGTAATTAACTATATATATATATATTTAATTAGGTGAAGTAGAACCTTTGTCTCTTCCTCCATAGGCATATACAGGCTATGCTGATACTAGCATTATAGATGAAGTACTGAGAGGATAGTCTCTTAGGAAGTCTAAGCTGCCACTAGAAATGGTATTTTAGGAAATCTGGGACAACCTTGCACTTTCCTCTTCGGCTTAGTTCCTGCTGCTTCTGCATCCAGGATGTTCACTGTCCTGACTTCTTGGTTCATATCTCAATCACTAACATCTTCTATCCTTCCCTTCTTAGGATGTTTCTTGGTTAAGTTTTGTGAGGTGATATTTGAAATTCTTGGTGCAGAATCTTCAAACTGATGGCCTGAATTCTTCATGAGGACAGAGTACATGTGACAGGGTATTTAGTTGCCTCTAGAAATTCTGCCCTAAGACCACTGATTGATTTTTTTACAAAGATTTACTCTTCTTTCAGTCTCCCTTCACATAGCATATATGTGTTCAGAGTGCTTTCCATACCAAAATTGTTTTCCCTCCTAAACATAGCAGATGGTTACAGTTCTATCAAGCTCATGGTTAATAATGTTTTTATTCATCTCAAAGCTTTTACTGTAGTTCTGTTTGTCATCAGGTCCTGCCTGGACTCACTCTCTGAATGAATAGATTCTAAGCCACTCCCCGTTTCAGGAGCATAGCCCACACACATGAACAGTCCTGTTGAATCGTCCTCAGGGGTCCTTATCGCTTATAGCACAGTCTTTGACTTACTTAGTTGGCAGCCTGCCTGAGATTTGGCCTCTGTTTCCTTTCCCAGCCCTCTCTCCTGGCTCATATTCTTACATTCTGTCTTCCAGAAGATCTCCAGATGTTTTCTCTTTATTCCCAGGTGATAGTCTCCACTCAGACTGTGTCTCATGGTTCCCATCTCAACCTGTATTCACTTTATTAGCTTCTGCTACTTTCTCAAGACATGGTCATGAGAACCACCAAATAGGCTTTGCTGTTCCAGTCCCTTCTGCCTCTGCTTCATTTTCCCATCAAGTCCCGTCACTAGCCTCACTCCATCATCTCACTAACCCCATCTTCTCACTTGGTGTGTCAGGATCCTGTCAGGAATTCCTGCTCATGTGTGTCGGCTGCATCCTCCTCCACACCCTCAAAGTAGAAAATATATATCCTAAATGTTATCATTCGCACTCTTTAGTATCTCTCTACCTGTCCATCTGACTATCTACCTATCATCTACCTTGAAATTACAAAATAAGTTAATAGGTAATTTATGTGCCTAAAGACCTAATACACTCAGAATGTAAGCAAATCTGTGAACAAAAATGCTCACAATTTTCTTAACAAAAATAAAAGTCACAGACACCTATTTCCAAATTTAGATACCATTTATTCTTTTAGCATCCACTATTTCATGTTACCTGTGACCTGCTAGGCACTAGATGAATCCTACAAAGACGTCACTCTCTCTACCCATAGTAAACATCTATCCTTTTATCTGTCTTCTATCTGTCTATCTATCTATCTACCTACCTACCTGCCATCTATTTATTTTCTCTTCCTGCAAGTGTATGTGTGTATGAGAGAGAAAAGAGAAACACATTTTATTCCGATTCTCATATTACAATTTTATGAATAGCCCTGTATGCTTTTACTATATAGGTCACTTGAAAGTTTTAATTTCATTGCAAACTTCAGGGCTGATGGAGGCAGCATTGTTTTTCTGTATTAAACACCCTGTCTTATCTGTGTTGACCAGGCTTCCCAAGCTGAGCTCATGTGTATTACCTCTTTTCTTCCCAGGCCTGCCATTGGAACTAGCCCATGGTAAGTGCCAGTAAATGCCAGGTAAATCATTAGCCTTCTTGGATTGCCCTCATGCTGTCGAGGACAGCCTTGCATGAGCAGATAGCATTTGAAAGTGCCCTAAAGATGGTTTGTAACTTGTCCAACTTTGCAAAAGATAAGAACAGCTACATGCTAACATAATAGAGGAAAGGAGGTATTCTTGGAGTTTTCTAAAATGAGCAAATACCAAGCCCTTAACTTTCTTGCTAAAAGGATTTAAATTTCTTTCAGCGTGCCTTAAGTCACATGGTAGAAAGCGTGTCTAAGGCTTACCTCAAAGCTCACAGCTCCATTGTGGTCCGTGTCAAATGCGTTGAAGAGAAAATGTGCATATGTTGTGGAGTCTGAAACATAGAAGAGGGATATCAGTTAGTTAGTGTTTTTATGGGCTACCCCTTTCTCTTTAAGGCATGTTTTTATCTCTGCTACCCACCCTTTTTATGTAGTCAACTGCAACTTGCAATTCTTAGAAATGAGCTACATTCTGAGGCCATTGGTGACAGGCATTTTCTGTGAGTCTCTGGCTAGGATTAATCTCAACACATGAGATTGTGGCTGTTGATCTCTGCCCTGGGATGAGAACTGGTCCCATAGGTGGATAGATGTCAAGATTATGGAGATATGTCTCGACATTGTCTGGTGCTTGGGAAAATTTTATCTCATAAGTAAAGTAGTAAGAACCCAAATAATGCAACACATGGGTTGGTATCATTAATATCCCTTTATTCATTATTTAGTCATTATTCATGTTGTTGATGTTTTTACAGCTCAGAGAAGTGGTTTGCATGTAAAGAGGTTGGGAAACTTGCCCAAAGTTACTGAGAGGGAGATCTGAGACATAAACATTGGGAGGCACTCCCATGGCCTGTTAATTTGGCTGGGGATTTAGGAAACTTCTGGTGGTTATTAACATGTAGAGGAATTTGTAGACCCTGAGATTTCTACTTATATGCCACTGCATGCAGTAGGGTGCCTCTACTCTGCTGTGTCCTGGGTGGGATCCAGAGCTCGGAGTAATGAGGACAAAGGTAGATGACTCAATCTGCCCACTTCTGCTGGCTGTAGTCAAAGGTTGCTGAAGTCTCTGAAATCTAACTATTCCTCTCTGTTTCTTTCCCATGTCTACTCCATTCCTCCCTCTTGCTCTTGCTTTGTCTCACTAACCTCTGAGCTTTCTTCAGTTCTCATTTTAAAAGTATTTCTTTTGTTTTCTTTTCTTAATGCCCAGCTTTACTCTCTAAGTGCTTTTGTGCTCAATTCTTGATCAAATTTACATGATTATGTTAAATACTCCCTCTCCTGGGTTTTAGCCTTTATTCTTCACCCTACAAAAATGTAACCTTTTAGCTTTTTGCTTTTAGCCCTTTATCTGCTGCCTTAAAGGCTTATTAATTTCTGTTTTGTGACTTTTGGATTTTATTTTTACTGGGATTTCTTATAACTTCTATTCCATTTTGACATTATGAGTAGGTTTTAAAAGACTGCCAAGGAACTGAGTCTGAATAGCAGGGATGGGGAGTTACTTTCCCCAGTGAAAACAAGTATCGATGCTCCTCCTCTTCAAACTTCTCACTGCCCTCTTGGGATTCTGAGCTATTTAGGAATGTTTTCCCTTGATGTTTCATCCAAGTTATCGCTTGTTAACGTGAAGGTCATGCATCTCAAAGCTGACTGCACGTGTTGCTTCTCAAAAATGATGACAGTAACTCCCTTCATCCCTCATTGCTAAGTATAATAAAACATAGCACTCACTTTAACCGTGTGACTTGTCATCTCTCTCTCAATCTCTCTGTCTCTCTCAATCTCTCTGTCTCT